CCCAACACCAAGCGTACTACTAACTAATTCCACTGTGTCATCAACACTTTTACCTAAATGTTTGTCTGTAAATGATTTAAAACAATTAAATATTAACGTTTTTTCATTAACTGTTAAAGGACCGATTTTTTGTCGTTTACGCGGCCCTTCCAAATTTTCCATGATCACACTAGAATTCACACTGCACCTTGCAAGTTGCAACTAAACGACATTTAGTAAACTGTCAAGAATACACAACTTGGACCTCCTTACTAAATGGAAAACCTATAATCGCATTTTCGGTGAAATTTGTTGGGAAGGTATTTATCTACTTATAATTCGATTACTGTAAGAAATTCTTGGAATTAAAATAAAACAAAATTGGCAAATAGGTACTTATTGAAAATAATCTTAAGATACGGCTATGTAATCTTTAATACACAGGGCTTTTGGCCTGTCCAAACCTTTTTCTATTGTTCTGTACAGCTTATGTTTATAAAGGACCAATAAAAGACCCAAAACTTGTAATAGCTCAGGTACATTTATTACAATTTTAGGAAATATTTAGATTATTCTGTAAAAATATTTAAAATGACCGTACTAAGTTTTGCATTAGAAATGCTGTTTTATTACTCTCTCATACATAAAAATAGACTATAGTAACAGATGACGTAATAATCATAGATGACGTTACATAGCCACTGTGTCCAATAACTTTAAACTGGACCTTATGGCAAGAGACACCTCGTTTGAAAGTCAATCTTACTAATTTTGTTTAGATTTAAGGATTCCATTCATTTTTTCTTCAAAAATTGTTGTTTGAAATGGTAAAAGAAATCGACAGCTTCATCAAAGCCATCAGCATCTTGCTTATAGAGTATGCAGTTTATAGGTATATTGCTACCAAAAGAAAAACCAGAGGTGGACTGTATCGGTATCCAAAAAGTGGGGCTTCATAGCATTTAAGCTCATTGTACATCCTTTACGAAAAATTCTGCCAAACAACTTGTAGTTTAAAATTAATTTAAAAACATCACCAAGAGGTTACATTGGCCAAAGTTGACATGTCAGTAATAAACCAAATTTTGAATAATAAAACATCAAATTTAATAGAAAAATTAAATAAACGCGGAAGAAATTCTAAATTAAGACTGACATAGTGTATATTTATGTTAGGCCGCGCTTGTGATGGTCATAAAACTTCCAGTTTATGATATTTTTGGTAATAAAAATTTATTAATACCGTAAGTTTGTCAACAAAGTGAATTTCGAAAATAGATTTTTTAGTACAAATGGTTATTTTATGGTTGGCCAGAAGGTTTGACGTTTAGCGTTTAATAAAACCGCAATTATGGTTTTTTAAATTAAATAATGTTATTTTTTCTTCAAAACTACCTTAAATCTAAACAAAATTAGTAAGATTGACTTTCAAACGACGTGTCTCTTGCCATAAGGTCGAGTTTAAAGTTATTGGACACAGTGGACATGTATCGTCATCTATGATTATTACGTCATCTGTTACCAGTAGTAGAGAAGCTTACAATCTTATTTCAGCCTCCAAAATATACGAGAGATGAAGGGGAATTTTGAGTAGCATATAATACAGGGTGATCCATTAGAATTTGAAGAAAAAACATTATTATAACAAAATCGACCTAAAAACAGCTTTTTCTGAAAAAATTAAAATACAATGCTATAATTATAACTATCTTACAAAAAGGCAGATAAGATGACTTATTGACCTGTCAAAACCGCAAACTTATATCCCTTGTCATTCAAAAGATATTGACATTTTGTTAAATTTGATTAATTTTAGCTCACCCTGTAAGTTGTTAAAAGACTTGTTGGTGAAATTGTTTTGAAAAAATAAGTAAAAACATTACGGAATATTTTGTAAAAATTTCAATTATAGCTTACCCCACCTAGCAGAAAACTACAGAGTTAAAAATATTTTTAAGCAGTTTTTTTAGGGCCGATTTTGTTGTAACAATTTTTTCTAAAATTCTAGGACACGATTTTGGAGATACAGCCGATCGATACCTTTAATGAAATATCCCATAATTTGTTAATTCTTTCTGAATGTTCCAAAATTTATTTCACAATTTTTGGAACTATTAAAAAAAAACTATTCAAATTGAAAGACTATGTTTTTTGCGAACCCTGTATTATATTAAATACGGCGTTCTAAAATATTTAAAACATTCTAAAACCATTGAACTACTTAGTAGACTCAACACAAACTAAAATGGATCGATCGTCCTCATTTCATTCGCACAATGTTTATTTTTTCAGACTTACACTGTGGACCAAATTAAATTTGTACACTTTTTAACCTAAAAATAAATATTTACTTGTTGCCATATTTAATTAATTTCAGTAAAAATCCGGACATGTCCGGAATTTGTGCGTTTTGTCCGGAATTTTTAGGAAAATCATTAAACGTATTAAAGTATGTTTTGTGTCAAAATTAACGTATACAAAACTTTTAATTTCGTGATAAATATCTAATGAAAAAATACGTTAAATACTCACGATAAATACTTGTTTTAATAAAACGTTTAGTAATTATTTAACGAGTTAAGTTTTATTGTTTTGTCCGGATTTTTATAAAATGTCCGGGTTTTCATTAGTTATACCAGGAAATTGTATATGGCAACCCTAGGTGACTGATATATTATGTATAGGCTATCAAATTTTGATCAAAATTATTTTAGACATTGCTAAAATGTCCAAACAATGAGTTTGGAGGACATTTTGAATTTAATAAAAGTAAGTTACACTAGTTCAGTTAACTTTTTAACTAGAATAAATGTTCTGTTTATCTAAAAATCAATGAACAAGATCAATTTACCTGATCAGTTAAACATTCAACTTGGGACAGCTGGGGCTGTTCAGAAATTTCCATTTATCTGAAATTGTTACACGGTTTACTATAGATAATAAAAAGTTAAATATTACAGGTCATTTTTAACTGTTCCAAATAGAGTTGATATATGCAAAAATGCAATTTCCTAGCATAAATAATAAAAATCCGGACAAAATAATAAAAATCAGGACAAAATAATAAAAATCCGGATAAAACAATAAAAATCCGGACAAAACAATAAAAATTCAGATAAAATAATACATTTTTGACAAAATAATGAAACTCCAACTCAAGAAAAAATTACTAAACGTTTTATTAAAAAAAGTAAATATCGTGGACATTTATTGCAGGTCAAGATTTGCTTTTTACATTAGACAATTATCGTATGATTCGGAAGTTATGTGATGTTAATTGTAAAGGCCAAATAATTACAAATAATAAAAATCTGAAGAAAAAAAAAAATACTAAAAATCCGGACAAAATAATAAAAATGAACAAAATAATAAAAATAACAAAATAATAAAAATCCGGACAAAATAATAAAGATCCGGACAAAACAATAAAACTTCAATTTATAAAATAATTACTTACATCGACTTTATGGAGAAAAAAACTAAACATATTCATTTCTAGACTGAGAAAATAGCCTCAACTGAACAGTTTAACAGAAAAATTATTAACTGGAACTAGATTAACAGTCCGGACGCCTGAAAGTATAAATTGTCCGGAAATGTTAAAAAAATCATCAAAGTTTTAAGGAATACTTAAATTGCCGTATTAACAGTTTTTTTCGCCATTAAACTTCAGACTTCACTTCCGAATCGTGCGATAAATGTCTAATATCTAATGTAAAAATCAAGTCTCGTCCTGCGAATATCTACGCTAGGTATGTATATTTTTTAATAAAATGTTTGGTAATTATTTTACAAGTTGGATTTTTATTATTCTGTCCGAATTTTTATTATTTTGTTCGGATTTTTATTATCTTGTCCGAATTTTTATTATTTTGTCCGGATTTTTATTATATTGTCCGGATTTTTATTATATGGCCCTTACAATTAACATCGATATAACTTAACTTCCGAATCGTACGATAAATATCTAATGTAAAATGCGATAATTATGTTTTTTTTTTTTTTTTTTAATAAAACGTTATTTTAAGAGTTGAAGCTTTATTATTTTGCCGGATTTGTAATATTGTGTCCGGATTTTTATTATTTTGTCAGCATTTTTGTTATTTCGTTCGAATTTTTATTGTTTGGTCCGGATTTTTAAAAAAATGTCCGGAATTTTCATTAGGTTGCATGAAATTGCATTTTTGTGTATGACAACTCTCTGAAATGACCTGTAATGTTTCATTTTTTTATTTGATACAGTAATTATTGTAACAATTTCAGATAAATGAAAATTACTGGAAAACGCGCTGTCCCAAGTTGAATATTTATTTGAATCACAAAAATTTTTATTTTGGTTATACCTACAAATATTTATGATCTTATTATTTCAGAATAAAATAGTGAGTACTAAAACGATTCTTTAAATTCAGCAAAACTAAGACCTTTCAGAAATATTTGAACAAGAACAACCATCATTACCAAGTTTTGTGTAATAGAAGTAGGTCAGGTGGTTCTTAAACATGCCATTGTATTGTGTATTTTCTATAGGGTGCTGAATAATGGTACATAATAAGAGTTTGGCGAATAATCTGTGAAAGTATTTGAAGCTATGTATGTACATGACGTTTCTGCTTATTTACTTAAAATTTTTATCTGCTATAGTTAAAAAATTTAAAGTTTCAAATAAAAATATCCCTCAATGTACAAAATAACGCACTTTTTTGAAACAATAGTTAATAAGAAAATTATGAAAACGTTTTGTGATGAATATTTTATAATAACTCTTTATTATCTTAAATTGAAAGTAATAACATGACTTTATTAAAAAGAAAAATAAAAAATTTCCTTATCAATGATGTTGCAATTTAAATTCCAGTCATCTCAATAAGTGGTTGAGACTAACGACTTTCTAATATGCCTATGAAAGTTATGTTATTGTAACTTTTACCCAGTGTTTAATGCAAATATGCAGCTTGTTGTTTAGATTGAATCTTCATACAAATTTAATTTGGTTCACAGTGTATATCGACACGACTTACCTGGTCCAGAATGTACGCTAACCTCTTCAGCGATCGTAGCCAAACCTTCGCTGATCAAATGCTCCTTCTCCTCGTCACTATCCGATTCATCACTATCACTACCCCCCGCTCCATCACTATCACTATCCTCCCCACCGCCCCCACAATCCCCACGATTCACATGATTCTCCCCGATATCGTTCGATCCATTCTTCTCGTCTTCCAGACTGTCCGGATCCGATGGGGAATCCGTTTTCGCGGGGGAATCCGATTTAGCGGGTGAATCCGTTTTGGTAGGGGATCGCCTTCTCTTTAAAGAATCCGTGGAGCAGAATTGCTGGACGTCTTCCGCGACGCTGTTGAAATCTTTGACGGCCGATTCGAAGCTGAACGGGCCGACATCGGCGTCGTCGGTCGAATCCAAACAAAAGATATTTTTAGTGTCTATGGAGGATGTGGAATATGCGGCGGTATTTCGATCGTGACCCGGCTGGATTCGATGATATTTGTGATTCTTCTGGCCGGTGCCGAGTTTTTGCTTTTCGAGGACTGCTACGACGGCTGCTACCACAGCGCCGCTTTTGCACATTTCCCTCATGGCGGCAGTGGTGGTATTTTTTTAAGTTTTCAATTTTTATGGTGGCTGTAAAAAATGTTGAATTGAAATATGGACGAGGGATTTCCTGGGCTATATTTAGTACGGTCAAAATAGACGCAATAATGTCAAAAGGTTTTTTTTATGTACTTTCACATTTATGTTCTGAATTTCGATCATACAGGGTGATTCATTAAGAAATTTTTAAAATCCTTATATTTCGAATTTTAATAATATTCCCATAACCTGTAACATAAGTAATATCTACAATGAGTGTATCTTAACAGAAAAAATAAGGAATGATTTAGAATTCATATTTTACATTAATATATTGTACCTATAATCAAAATGCATTTTTTTTATTTCAAAATTTGATCCCTAAAAGTAGAATTTATAATTTAGTGTTTCACAAATTTGGTGAGCTCTCGTCAGTGGCGTATTAAGGGGGTGAAATGGAGATTATTTAGCAAAAAATTGTAATTTTTCGTAAAAAATCGAATAATATGTGGTTTTCTGTATTTTTGTTATACAGATATTATGATATTTTAACAAAAAAATCCATTTAGGATAAATAAGAAAGAGTAGAAATTAAAGAATCGAATGATAGGTGGTTTTAGGGGTTTTCAGGTATATAAATTCTGATTTTATAATCTATACGGCTCTGGGTTTTTCTATATTGTAAATGGTAAGTCTACAGTTACTACCAGTCTTATTTATCTTTTAAAAAAGTAATATTTCCTTTTATAATGTTGAAAGAAAATCCTGGTAAATATTTTAAAGTAAACAGCAACTTTAAGCAGAAGTTAAACACTGAAAAGAAAGTAATTAATTAGGTGGCGTAGAGTTTATTTACCTTGTTTAATTATGAAATGAGCGACACTGCTAAGCGATAGTCGTATTTAAAAAATTAAGGTTATAAATAAGATTAATTATTTACAATGCGAAAACATCTATGTTTATTTATTCTTGTAGATACTTATCATCATCCTAATCCTTAATGCTTTTCTTACTTGTACGTTATTATAAAATATAGAGCGGTTAAAACTATTAAACTTTTGGGAAAATTAGGAGAACTGTGGTGTAACAGAAAACTTGAAATTTTTAAAAGTTGAGCAAATGCTATACCCAAAAACTCTGGCTGTAAGACCACTCTAGCAATGACAGTTCGTTATTTTGTAAAGTATCCCAGCGGTTGTGATAACATCCCCAACTAGCCATTCATAAAAGTGTATTTGTTGTGAAGTTCTCATCATCATCTATTGTATAGTCCAGGAGACAGTGACGATTTTCGGTATTTATTTTCCCAGTCAGCAAGCACGAATAGAGAATTGTAGGATTAGCAATTCTACGCAAAATTCATATATATTTAGAGGGGGGATCCGATGGGGTGAGGCCGAAAATGCGTCAAAACATACGAGAACACGGCCCTTTTTTTTCATTGATAAAAATAGTTTTAGTAGTAAGAGATGTACTGAAGTTAAGTAAAAAAATAGTCTGATTAATCTGTATGGATAATATATTTGGTAAGTGCATAAAATACACTTTCAAACGAGTTATGTACACAATTATTTCTACGACTACAATTATTTAAAGAATGTTCCAGGTGTTTTGTATATTAAAGTGTACGCATAGGACACATAAATAAAATCTTATATCACAATGTTTCACCTAACCAGTTGGTTTATTTATAGAAATTAAACATAATAATTGAAGATATTACAGAAGAATATAGGGAAATAAATTACATTTCCTTTTACACTTTTATATAATAATTGTTTTATTTAGAATTCACGAATCACTTATTACTCTACATTAATTATAATTATTATTAGTTTCGTTATGTCAAATCATTTATACTAGAGGTGTGAGGAAAATACAGTGAACTGTGGAACGCCAATATCGTTGGATGCGCGTGGTAGAAATGGTCCTATAATACTGCCAAAAACATAGCTAAATTTTCATGGAAACACTGTACTTTTGACATTTGCGATACTCCGACGCATATGCATTATTGATGTAATCTCATGATTTTACAGTAATAGTTTTTGCAATTTTAGTGTGATTTTTAGGTTATTATGGTTATTCATTTTATTTAGTTGTGATCTTTTGCGCTTTTAGAGTATTTGTCTTTCATATAGTTTTTAATTTGAATTTTAATATTGTGGTCTATTTATATTTGATTGCTGCTTTTCGACTAGTGCTTTATTCTTTTTGTGTTAAAATAAGCTTTATAACCATTAAGTACATGCTTCTAGTTGATATCTACCTAATCGTCATCGGGTGCTTGCAACAATGGGAAAAAGTGTATGGTTTTTTTGGTGTAAAGTTAGACCCCTTCATTTTTCAGGTAAGTTATTTGTAGTTATTTTTTGATAGCAATAGGTCCTGGTTCGGGGTGTGACTTTTGGGTTTTAGCTATCTGAGCCAAATTGTCGGCTAAGTGTCCTCTTTTAGGGCACCCAGAACCGAAAACTATATAGGTATATAATATGTTTTTTTTAAAATTATTTTTTAATATGTATGCACCTTGGATGAGGGCTTTAGGAAGAGATCCTAAGACTGAACACTGACTGCTATAAATGCCGTTTTTAGAGCACATTTCATAGTAAGTGATTTCATTCTAGCAGCAATGAAGAAACGTTTAAAAAACATGCTGTACCAGCTATTACTTTAAGACCTCGTCTCTTTAAGTTATTATTACTTCATTCTAATGCATATATTAAAATGGTTTTTAACTTATGTCCTTATGATTAAAAGATGTAGGTATTTTAGTTATGTTATATTAGAAATATATGATACTTTCTATTGACTGACCTACTGGCCACTGGTCATTCCACTTTTACTCCCTTTTTTCATAAATTATCAAATTATTTAAAAACAAATACATACCTAGCTATTTCTGTAAATTACATTAAAATTTTAGTATTAATACTTTACTAATAAAACTTCAGTTAATTTATCTTATATATATACACACAACGGAAGAGTTAATTGGATTTTCTCCTTGTTGAGTTTCAAAAATAGTCATTTAACATGATTTAAAAACAAATACATGAAATGGGCAAAATAGGCCTGCAAAGGCACTTTGTAAACAATCTCACTTGTATCGATGTGACGTAATGCGCGAATTCAATCTGGCTTACTTTTGTTAATAGATTGGCGTTCCATTTTAAATATACAGTTCACCGGGAATAGATTATTTAAATATACACGGACCGGGAAAACAAGTACGAAAAAATTCACTGGCTCCTGGACTAGTACTGTATCGAAGGAATTTTTATGAATGAAACAATATACGACCCTCCACAATTGCGGTCTACTCTACTTCCGCTGTTGTCAGACATTATTTTTTTTTGGACAATTTAAAGACCTAACAGTAATTCAAGCAAACGCAATAACATTACTACAGTTAAAAACATCGCAAACTTGGCATCAATATTTTAATTTTATCCAAATATTGCATTTCTGTCGAGGATCATCAGCGTTGACTTCAGAAATTGTGTGATCTGTATTGGTTATATATATCTATAGTTAAAGGCACGTAAACTTGGCATTAATGTTCAATCCGATTATTGAGTTTCTACCGCGGACACCACCGTTCATTCTTCAAAATTTTTGTAAGTAATCCTATCTGTCTTGGTTATATATCTATGGTTGTGATTTCCAGAATATTCACAAAGAACCAATTAGGGATCGTACTAGCCTAGTGGGCCTACAAAAACCTGATAAGACGACTTGCATAATACGATACTATTTACTATTTTGTTTTGTATACTAAATTACCAAATTTTAAAGTAGAAGCAATAATTACTTATCTATGGAGCCTGAATATTGAATTCTTACCCAAATGTTTTGAAAGTTTCCGAAGAAACTCCAACAAAAGTATGTTTTAATATTTCCGAGTAAAACAATAAAATTATAAAAATAGCACGACTGTTTTTATCTGCAGTTTAGTCACACTTCGCACTACACGCAATCTATTTCCGTACCAAAATAAGATCTGTCAGCTGTTTCAGATATCAGTATTTCAGTATATATCCTCATTCTTGTCGAGACCGTTAAAAATAGAAAAACGAATTTCCAAATCCATTCGACATTCCGGGATGTTTCACTTGAAATACAACCTCCGACAAGATAGAATGGGCCGTCATTTTTCAGCCGTTTTCGACAAGAATTCCGATACAGAAAGAGATATTTCCGTGGAGATATATCTTCGGAAAGTCAAATACCAATTAATTTAAGGAGGGTTAGTATTGTTGTATACGAAGTTAAATCTCGGCAACAAATGATGGAATAGTGAAAAACCATTTTAAAAATAAGTTAGATATAAATAATAAAATAGAATGTAAACTACCTCTAAATAAAACACAAACTAATAAGTAGAAATAATATAATAGGTAATTTCATTGTCTTTAACACAAAATGTAATAAAAACTAGAGATAATCTGTAAGAGTACAATTAGCCGACACTGTAGACCGTTTTCAAGCGATGGGATAGTCAGAATGAATCTTCCCTCAAAAATTCGTTATTCCTCTTGTATCTTAATCTTGTTAATATAAACAAAGACCCCCTTGAAAGTTCTATTTCGAATATTCAACATTTTTTATTTTAGACTCTATGAGAAACTAAATAAGCTATGCCAAAACAGCCAACAAAAGTAAGGGTAGATAAAATGCAATACCCACTTAGATTTTCTAAACTAAAACTATTTGATAGAATGTGAAACAGCTTTTAATATAATAAGGTAATAATACTAAAGGCTATGATTTATATACAAGATAATACTATGACAATGATGTTATTAAATATATGTACAGAAAGGTGATGCACGGTAATGTTTTTAGCAATAATATATATACAAGAAAGCTAAGCGTGGCTAAAATAGAGCTCAGGCAATGAAGTAGGCAATGGAACGTTCTTACTTGTTCTGTGGTTTCCTGATGATCTACCATCCAGGGATTGTTCTCGTCAGAGTTATCAATCGGTTACTAAGGGATGGGCCAACAAGATAAGCAGGAAGCGGTGAACTATAGTAAGGGTTACTTCC